CACGGCAAGAGCGCGCAGAGGCAACATCGAAGCATATCGGTGCGCCAAGTTTATTGTTGCTCAAGCCGGCGCTCCCGACGCCATTCGGCAGATCATCCAGGCCGCAGTTGCTTCGCCGGGACTTGGCGCCCATGCGGCCCCGGGAACGGCCTGAGTTGCCCCCCCTCCGTCGATCGAGTTCCTTGACCCCGTAACGTGGGCGTCGCCGGGCCGGGCAGGCCTGACCAACCCAAAAACGCTTCCCAACATCATGTTCCTTTCCACCACGCAGCATTGGGTCCCCGCTGGGTTCCAGAAGCGCCGGCGCTCCACCCGCAGTCTGTCTTGAGCTTGCTGCCTTCGCACCTGCGTGGCCCGCGCTTCGCAACTCTCGACTCACTCCCGCGCGGTGTCCAGCCCGTTGCGCCTCGCGCCGGATACCTGGGCCATCCGCAGGTGCGCGGAGAGGAATCGCGTTTCGTTGCCCAGGTTCGGGAAATTACTGTTCAAGAGGCTTACGCCATTTAGCCGACCCCCCGAAGAGGAGGTGTAGACTTTGCGCGTGTTGTTTGGCACCGTCGCGTTGCCTCATAACCTCGAATCATCAGGGCCGGGGGCAGTCAGGGGCAACTGCAGATTCAAGCCTCTTGGGTCCAACCTGGAGTTGCCCCGGACCGCAGTTATCCCGGATAACTCCCGCGTCCATCCCTCCCGCATCATCAGGGCTGGGGACAGTCAAGAGTAGCTACACGCGCATCTGGGGCCCAAACCAATGTTACCCTGGACTGCAGTTTTCCTGGATAATTCGGGCGTCCAACTGCCTGCATGCATTTGTTGCTGGTTCGTCTTCCTCTTCCTCCCCATCTAGTGCAGTCAGTAGATCGATGGGGCCTCTTGGAGGCCAAAATGGGGGCGGCCTGTGGGTGCTGTTTCAAGGCTCCCGGCAGCTGTCAGAGGCTAAGGTTCGGAGAGCTGCTACAGTCGGACCGAGGTATAAGATCGACGTCGGCCGGGGAGGGTACCCTGGTGTTCGTCGTGTTTGTTTGATGTTCTCGTGCATCCTGGTGAGGGGACCCATAAGATGTTTTGCGTGTTTTGTCCGGCGGAGGTCTCATGCTCTTGAAGGATGTTATTCTGGCCTAGGTCCGACTGTATTGCGAATGCCTTACGGCCGGTGCCACCGACCCTGAAGGGGGACGTCGAAGACGACGGCGGCGGTGGCGGCGGCGACGACGACGACGCTGACGTGGGCCCGAGTCCTTCGGCATGCTTCTTGGGGCCTCTTGGGAAGGCTCTCGGGGGTCTCTGGGGAGGAACTTTGGGGTCTCGTGGGAGCCTTTTGGGGGCCTCCGGGCCTCCTGGGGGCCTCTTCGGGTGTCCTGGGGGCCTCCGCATTTCTAGGCCTCCTAGATGGGGTCGGAGTAGGTGGGGTCGGAGGATCGCGCCGCATCGCCGATGTATCGCCGATGCGGCTCGATGCAGAGCCCGCTGTTCTCCACGCCGACGTCGCCGATACACCGCCCACGTCCACCGTGCACCGCCGGTGCTCCGCCGGTGCACCGCGGATGCATCGCAGGTGCATCGGCGATGCGGCGCGATCCTGCGGCCCCATCCGCTCGAACCCCATGCAGGAGGCCTCCGGTGCTCTCCACGGGTCGGCCACACGCGGGGGTGGGCGCCACGCCCGAGGAGAGGGCTCCCGGGTGCGAGCTCCCAGCGCGCGCCCTTGCGCCCTCCCTGCGTGTGCTCGCGCCTGGCCCCCTCCGCGCCCCCTTCAACCTCCCCCTCCCCTCCCCCTCCCCCTCCCCCTCCCCCCCCCTCCCCCTCCCCTCCACCCCTCCCCTCCCCCTCCCCCTCCCCATCCCTCCTCCTTCTCCTCCTCCTCCTCCTCCTCCTCCTCCTCCTCCTCCTCCCCCCTCCTCCTCCTCCTCCTCCTCCTCCTCCTCCTCCTCCGTCTCCTCCTTCCCTCCTCCTCCTCCTCATCCTCCTCCCCTCCTCCTCCCCCTCCTCCTCCTCCAGTAACCATTTCGCTCGAATCTGGTGTCGCCGGGCCGCGCCGCCCGCCTCGGTTCGGGTGATGCCGGCTGCTGATCCCCGCGCTGCAATCGCGGCCGCCCGAGGTGCCACCTTGACGGCCCATTCGGCGGCGGGGCTGGCCCGCGGAGCGCCTGCGGCTTGCCGCATGTTGCGCGCCGCCGAGGGCCTGTGCAGGGCGGCGGCGGCGGAGCTGGAGGCTTCGCGACGCCGTGCTGCTGCGCCTCATCGTCCCCCTGACGCCGAGCATGATGGAGCCCCTGATGATCCCGCGGGTGGCCTGCCGCCTGGCGCCGCGGCGCCGCGGCGGAGGCGACGGCGCGGTCGACGTCGGCGAGGAGCCACTGCTGCAGAGACGAAGGAGATGGACGTGGAGGGCGTGGAGGTCGCCGAGGCCATGATGGAGGACGACAGCTGGGCGGACGAGCTGCCTGCGCAGCCGAGCCGCCCGCCGTCCAGCGCGGGGCGGCGCGCGAGCCGCGCGGGCGCGCCCGCGTCGGTGGGCAAGGACAAGGGCATGAGCGCCACCCAGCCCCTCGGCGACGGTGGAGGAGCGGCCGCGCCCCGCGGCGGGGCCGCGGTGGCGGCGGCGGCCCACGCCTCCTCGGCAGGCCAGGAGGCCCTGGCGGTGGCCGACGGCGGCGGTGCTGGTTCGGCGCAGCTCGGCACGGCGCAGCCCTGCCGCGAGGAGCGGGTCGACGAGCACATCAGGCGTGCTCGCAAAATGGTGCTGCAGAGTCTCCATAAGCCAGCGCTGGATAACGGCTAGAAGAAGCGCCGTGTGCTGAGGCCGCTGGCCCACCCTGCCTCGGGCGTGTTGCCTGCGCGGGGTGCCGAGACCAGGGGCATTCACTCACGGGCGAGAGCACGCGAGTTTAAAACTCCTCCTCCTCCTCCTCCTCTTCTCCTCCTCCTCCCCAGGGCCTCCTCCTCCCCAGGGCGTCCCCGTGAAGCCGCGCGCCCGAGGCCGCTCTTGCCCAGGGCCGGAGGCGCTGAGGTTGGCAACCACATCTCGGGTGAAGTCGGGCCTGCCCCTCTACAGGAGGACAATTCCAGGACTGTAAAGCATACGGTCGGGGCGTTGAAGAAGGAACCCTTTTCGTTGGGGAGGGGCTCCGCGTTCCTTACGTGTTTCACAGCTTGCCTCAGGTGTTCCTTCTGTGTTCGATGGGAAATCGAATTTTATCTTGTGGAAGAAAGGAGCCTCGTTCCTTATGTAGGGTTCATTAGGTCAACGCCCCGACTGTAGTTTTGGGTATGTTGAGTAGCAAGCGCCGACATCAACATGACAACTCCACCAGGGAAAGATGATCCTGGATTTCGGTGTTGGTGTTAATGGTTCGGCCAACTGGGCAGCACGGCTATTACCACCATCGCCGAAACGAGGATCATCTGCCCTCGGTGGAAGCACGCCGCCGATATTAGGGGAACGAACAATGACATAAACACAACAACTCGGAGGTCCGCGCGGATTTCTCGTATCGGCGCTGGACCCCACCCCACGGCGCGCGGAGCGCGCCAGGGGCGGCGCCCGAGGCGCCGCCAGGGGGCTCCAGCGCAGATCCGAGAAATCCGCGCGGACCTCCGAGTTGTTATGTTTATGCCATTGTTTGTTTCATGTTATTGTTTGTTCTCCTATGTGGTGTACTTCCAACAAGGGCAGATGCTGCTGATTTCGGTGATGGTGGGAATATCCGTGCTACCCAAATGGCCGAACTATTTACACCAACGCCGAAATCCAGGATCACCTTCCCCTGGTGGAGGCAACCCCCTGTTTTGGTGTCGGTGCCCGTGTTCAGGCCTTCAACAGGGCCGCCCCCTGCGCGTCGCGGAAAGAGTGTGGCCCACAGAAGTGAACGATGACTGTGGCCAACCCCGGAGGAAACCGAACGGTGGCGGATAGACCTCCTACCCTGACACGTCGATTAGCGAAGTGGCCGTTTGCGGTTCACAAGAGGCAGTCGCGGCCGTCATGTTTGCGGGTCCAGGTCCGTCGGTTTCGGTCTCAGGCCGTTTTCAATAAAGGGAAGTTTACCAGAGGGAGTTTCGTCCACCGCCGAAACCGAGCCAACGAGGGAGTTGAAGATGAGGACAAAAAACAAAGCTCAGCTCTGCGGAGAGAGCGTGCCACAAGCGCGCGAAGGTACGCAGCCGCCGCGGCGGGGAGTTTCGGGAGTTCGGGGAGTTTCGGGGTATGGGCTCCAAGGTTTTCGGGCGTGTTTCCGTGCTCTCGGCGGATTTCTAGCATCGGGAGGCGTTCCAGCGGCTGCGCCTCGCCGAGTGGCGTCCGTGGGTGCTCGGATTGTCCCGTACGGCCGCGGGAGCGCCGCGTTATCACGAGAATATCAAACGACGATGATCATTGAGGGCGCAGACCTTCTCTGAAGGCGGCGGGGTTTCTCGGAAGCTTTCTGGCTTTCTGAGAAGCCCCCTGTGGCTTCGGAGAAGGCTTGGAAAGCTTCTCGGAAGCCTGGAGGCCCTCCTAAGCCTTCTGAAAGGCCAGCCCCCTCTGCCAGACTCACGCAGCAGACATGATGTGATGCGCTCAAGAGCAGCCCGGAACCAGCGCTGCCTGCGCAGTGATGGGCCCCAGGCTGGTAGGACATCCCAGGCCCACCTCCCCACGGGGCCCCCAACGACGCCGTTGGCCCTGGCGGGCACGATGAGGAGCAAGGGAATGCCACGAGAGCCCACCGACGTTTGTTCGCCCCGCGTCAACCAATGTGTGCGACGTGAAAAGGGGTCCCGGAGAGGGGGAGCCCATCATTTCCATTCGATCTGCGCCCTGCTCTCTGCCAAGACCGCTCCGAGGCAATCCACCGACCAGAGCAAGGGCGCAACTACTCCTCGACCGGAGCCCAGCTCAAAGGTCCCTGCCTCCTCGCCATGTCTGCTCGAGCCGTTTGGGCAATCGAGCGCTTGCGTGCGTGGCAGCGCTGGCTACCTCTCACCTGCGGCAGCGAGCTGCACAGCACGGGCGGCGCGGCATGGCGCCCACCAAGCAGTGCCCCTCCGGCCACCCGCTCGCGCACTGGCAGGCGGAGGCAGGATCGTGCGACGGTTGCCGCCGCATCATCCGCGACGGGGACCTGGTGATGGACTGCAGGCCTCGCCGAGGGGGCCAGCGGGTCCTGATGGCAAGGGGTCCTTCGGTTTTCCACCGTTCTGGGCCTCGGGCCCCGGGGCTGTCGGAAAGCGAAGCAGGATGAAGATCTGGTCTTAAGTCGGCCTGTCCCTCTACAGGGGGAATATTCAAAAATTGTAAAAAAATAGTCGGGGGATGTTGTTTGGAGTATTTTTGGGCATCTTTTGAATATTGCGAAGGCCTTACGGCCGTTGCCGCCGACCCTGAAGATGACGAAAGACAACACGAGGGGGGGGCACGAGGAGGAGGAGGAGGAGGCGGAAGGGAGTAGGAGGAGGAAGGGTGAAGGGGGAGGAGGAGGAGGCCTTATGAATGCTGGTTGGGATCTCGTGGTTGACCTCTCGGGGGCGTCTGGAAGGCAACTTGAAGTCTCTTGGGGGCCGTTGTGGGGCCTCTTCGGGCCTCTTTTGGGCCTCTTGGGGCTTCCGGAGGCCGTCTTCGGCGCATCTTGGGGGCGTCTTGGCGCCGCTTGGGGGTTTGGAGTATTTTTGGGCATCTTTTGAATATTTTTTACATCTTTTAATATTTCGCCCAAAATCCAAAATCCCCCTGTAGGGGGTCAGCCCGACCTAAATCTGGTCCTGGAGGAAGGCCACTGGGTTCAGGACCCATTTCCGTCAGGACCCGCTTCCCCCATGCTGAAGGCCGTGCAACTACTACCTATGCAGCGAGTGCTACAACGGCCGAAGCTCGCTGTGGACGTCGCTGGCGTCCTTCATCCCCGACTGCACCGCCGACACCCGGGCCTCGAACACAGAGGAGGTGGTGTGCGATGGCGACAGCGACGGCGCAACGACGGAGGTGGCCGACCCCAGGTGCAACCGGCGCGCGCACCAGGCCTCGAGCGTCGCGAGGGGCGCGCGGGATGAAGAGCAGCATGAAGAGAGTGCAGAGTCCGAGGAGGCGGAGGCGCCGGCCGAGCCCCTGGCCACGGCGAAGAGTGCAGCTGAGACCGTCGACCTGCTGGGCGACCTGCTCGACGTGCGGGATGCGAAGCAGGACGCGGAGCCCCGCTCTACGAAGAGCGCCGTGGAGACCGTGGACCTGCTTGGCGACCTGTTCTCGGAGCACGCGCCGCAGGTCGACCTGGATCCTTTCAGCGCCAAGGGCCAGGAGGCGCCCAGGCAGCCAGCGCTGCAGGCTGCTCGCTATGGGGCGGCGTAGACGCCGCCAGGGCCCGGGATCGCACGCCTCTGCTGCCGCGGATGGCGTGGGGAGGCATGGGCGCGACGGGAGAGGAGCGGGCGCAGCAGGAAGTTCTCTTCTGAGAGCATGCTCTTGGCGCGTTGCGCAGGTAGTCATCGTAGTTCCTGCGGGAGCTCTCGCTAATTGGAGCCTCCGCTCCCAGAATTCGGGGCGCTTGCAAGCGCCTTGGGCCCCAAGGCGTCGTAGCCGGGCACCTGCACCACGACGCTGGACCACTCGCTCCATCATCCTCGGAAGCTGACGAGCCCCCCCCTTTTCACAAGGCACCCGCCAGTAGCAAAACAGCAACGGCCTGGGGACGCCCCGCCCGCGGGCGCAGCCCCGCAACAAGCTGGCGACTGCCCCTCGCTCTCGAGAAGCCAACCAGCGGCCCCACGCGCGGATTCGCCGATCGACTGGGCAGGGTGGGGTTCTACCAATCCTCGACGCCCTGGGCATCGCTCAGACTCGGACGTGTGTGTGCTTTTTGTTGTCCCCGGCGAGGGCCATCGACCAGCACATCGGAACATCTCACGAGAAAGCACGAGCGCAGGACATCGAAACATGCACGGGGTGTGGACGTCCGAGCGATTGCCAGGTGTGGGGTTCTACCAGTCCTCGACGTCCCCTCTCCCACTGCTCCGCACCGCCCTCCCCCCTCACAGGATGGCCCCTCTGGGAGCACGGTGGGGGCGCTGGAGCGCCCAAACCCACGCCGCCAGGGCAGTGCGTGCGCGACGCGGGGATGTAGAAGACAGAGCTCCGAAGCGACACGCATCGGCGATAAATCGGCATCGGCGACTCCCCCCCGTGTCGCACCACGCCGCGCCGCCCCCCCCCCCACCTCCCAGCGCGAAGCGCGCCTCTGGGGAGCGGAGCCCCCCCACCCGCGAAGCCGCCCCGCTGCTGCCGCGCCCGCGGCCGCCGCCGCGACGACGACGACGACAAGGGGGACGGCGACGAGGGCGGCGGCGAGGGCGACGGCGGCGGCGGCGGCGGCCGCGAGGGCGAGGGCGCCAACGGCGGCATGGCGGCGGCGGCGGCGGCGCAGGCGGCGGCGGAGAGCCTGCGCGGGGCGCGCAGCCTCCGGAGCGCGCGCCGCCGCGGGAGGCCGAGTCGCGCGGCAGGGCGCTGCAGGCGAGGCTGCAGCGGGCGGACGCCTCCGCCGGCGTCTCGGCGTCTGCCCGTTCGCTCTGCTCCCCTCCCTCGTCGTCCCCCGTCGCCAGCGCCCCGCGCCCCTTCCATCCCCTCCTTCCCTTCTCTGCCCTTCCGTCCTCGCTCTTCCTTCTCCTCCTCCTCCTCCTCCTCCTCCTCCTCTCCTCCTCCCTCTCCTCCCTCCTCCCTCCTCCCTCCTCCGTCTCCTCCTCCTCCTCCTCCCTTCCTCCTTCTCCTCCTACTCCTCCTCCCCCTGCTCCTCCATCTCCTCCGTAGCCACTTTGGCTCAAGGTGACAATACCCCCTGGGAAGCAGACGGACTCTGCTGATCCGAGGCAATCTCCACGGACCCGAACCGCCTCCGGTCTCTGCTCGCCTCCTGCACCCTGCAGGCGTGCAGTCTTTTGTCAGCCCCTTGCAGGGTCGGATACCGTGCAGCGGCGACGAACTACGTCCACTGTTGGCCGTGCGGCTGCACGTGGACAAGGGAACGCGCGAGGACACTGCTTCAAGTGCGAAGCCCAGCGCAAGCCAGCGACTTCTACACCACGTCCGCCTTCGGGAGCCTGGAGTTCGTGGCCGCGGAAGAACCATTGGCAATCGAGCAAAAGCGCGGTGCAGGCGCAGTGCGAGTACTGAAACCCACCTTGGCTAGAAAAGCCGCAGCCAGAACGACAGCAGCAGCCACAAGAAAAACCATATTCAGACCCGTTCAGCGTCCTCGATGGGCTTACGACGTACTTGGGCGAAGAAGCGCTGGTCGACCAGCGATGGAAACGGCGATCGCCATCCTGCGCGCTAAGGCCAGCGAGGAGAGCAACCCCAAAGGCACCAACGCCAAGCCGAAGGCGAGAGTGCAGCGGTTCGGCGAGGCCGACAAGCGCATCAAGATGGTCGAGGTGCAGATCACCAGACAGCGCAAGAAGTTGGTGGACGCACATTTTTTCCTGGACGACCAGAACGGGGAAGGGAGTCCGACCTCCCAAGCTGCACAAGATATGGACATAGTCTTGCCCGCACCAACTTCCATGTTCGCGCAGGCTGGCGACTTCCATTTGCCGTCGGGCCCCGCGGGCCGCGCTGCGCGCGTCGCTGGACATTGAAGTTTGGGGGCGAAGGGGGTTGGACAAACTTGCGTTTTACTTCGCGGAGGGCTGCAGGACATGATGAATCCTTCAGAGCGTTCCAGAACGCTCTCAGGGCGTCCTGGACCGCTGTGGAACGGCCGCCGCGCCCGAGACATCCTTCAGGACAGCCCGAGCTCAGGGATCCCCGATTTGTCCGATCGTGTTGCTCCCCGTCCTGGCAACGTCGGCCACGACAGGGAGGCGCCCCCGGACCGCATGGGGGTCCCCAGCTCTCCGCGCCGTCTTGGAGCCCCCGCGGCCCCCGCTGGGCCCCGTGAGGGGTGCCCTGCAACCTGCGGGGGCCCCGCTGAGGATCCTGGGGGCACCCTGAGCCAGGGACACTTCTCCCTCCTCCTCCTCTTCCTCCTCCTGTTCCTCCTCCTCCCTCCTCTCCCCCCCGCCTCTCCCCCCTCCCACCCCCCCCCTCTCCCCCTCCCCCATTCCCCCTCCCCCCTCCCCCTCCCCTCCTCCACCTCCTCCTCCTCCTCCCTCCTCCTCCTCTGTTAGAGGCGGAGGAGTTGGAGGAGTGGAGGAGAACGGAAGTCTCGTCCCTGGCATGGATGTTCGCTCATTTGGCCTTGCATGCCCGTCTGAAGTAGAACCGCCGGCCGAGGTCACCGCAGGGGTGGAGGCGCTGCGGGAGGCGGAGCGGCAGTGCTCGCAGCTCAAGGAGCACTGCTGGCCACTGCGGCGACGATGGGCAGGGTACGGTTCAGTCGGGCATGTCCCTCAGGAAAAGAGTCAAACAAAATAGTCAGGGGACGATCGTTTGATTGTTTTGTTGACTATGTTGGTACAGTTTTGGAGTCGTATGTTCATTTTGTCGCCCACAATCCGCCTGTGGGGGAACATGCCCGACCTAAGGGTACGGTCAGGAACGTTTGCTTACCGCGTCGCGCCGCCTGTGCTCGTCCACCAGTCGTCGCCGCGACTCGCTTTACGCGTCTGCGTCCCCAGACGTCAACTGCCCGAGCGCTTCCCAGACCTTTGCCCCGCGGGGCGGAGCAACACGCCATCCGATGGCAGGGCATCGCGTATCCCTGGGGCCTCCGCCGCCACTCGGTGCGAATGAGGGCAGCGATCGCAGACGACTTCACGAGCGCAGTCCCCGATGTCCCCTTCAATCTCCCCCTGGGAATTGTCCGCAAAGGAACGAGGAGGGGAGCTCGGGGACACACCGAACGCACCCCAGGGCACGCCGCACACACCGCACGCACCCCAGCGGACGCACTGATCCCTCTCGGGGAACACGGGGACACCCGCCAGGGTGCTATCCGAACGACGCAGCATTCCTATCGAGGATCGACGCCTCCCATGGTATGGATGATCCAGGGCTCCGGCTCCCCCCCCAATGCTGATGGGGTCCCCCCCCTCCGCTGGACGGGTACGCCCGCCCGTGTGTGAGCCTCGCGAAGGCCTCGCGAATTGGATCGCACCCCACACCCTGTGGTCATGGCCATGTGGGCGTGTCGTGGTGGAGGGTGCACGTCGTCGTCATCGTCGTCGACGTCGTCGTCGACGTCATCGTCTTCTGTCGGCGTCGTCGTCGCCGTCGTCGTCAACGTCGTCAACGTCGTCGTCGTCGTCAACGTCGTCGTCTTCCGTCGCCGTCGGCGTCTGCGTCGGTGTCTGCGTCGGCGTCGGCGTCGCTGTCGGCTGTCGGCGTCGGCGTCGGCGTCGACGTCGGCGTCGGCATCGGCGTCGTTGTCGTCGTCCCTGCCCATAACATCCAGGGGAGGGGGCTGTGGAACCCTGAGGTCCACTTCTTCTGGCGGTGTGCCTGTGAACCCTCTACCCTGGATTATATATCCGAGCTGGGCCAAAGCGTGTTCGGCCCATCGAAATGTCCGCTTACTTCTGGATTGTGGTTGCGGAGCCTTTGCTAGATTTCGAGGGTGATGACGACGAAGGCGACGTCGATGACGTGGATAAGATCGACTGAGCATGATGGCGAAGCCGATGGCGATGTTGATGATGAGTGGGATGAGTCACAGGATGAGTCACAGGAGTATGAGGATGAGGAGGAGGAGAAGAAGAAGAAGAAGGAGGAGGAGGAGGAGGAGGGGGACGCAGTATGGGAACGACGTAAAGCGGCAGCACGAGCACGAAGAGGAATGCAGGAGACGAGGCAGGAGGACGAGGAGCAGACGGATTTCGACGAACCATGCCAGGATCAGGTTTCCTCCGTTCGTGGCGTGCACCGCGCCAGCCCAGGCAGTGAGGGAGAACTCGCGCTGCCGTGGCGAGGCATGGGAACTGCAGAAGGCCCTACAGAAGGCCACGCAGGCGCACAGGGTCAGGAGAAGGCTGGGCCGCCTGAAGTTGAGGGGAAAACGCACAGACACGTAGTTGCCGCGATTCCCAGGACACTGCGGGAACATATGGGACGCGGGGGGGGGGAAGCCGAAGCTCGAGAACATGTGGGAGAGCGCGTGGGGAATCCCGGAATCCGTGCCCATTTAGCAGTTAGTTCTCGGTGCTCTGCTCTCCGCCGTCGGCTTCCGTCTGATGGGATGGTTGCCACGGGAGCTTGGTCGCTCATTCGTCTTCGCCGCCCGAGGCCCCGAGCACTCCCTGGGGCCCCCCGGGATCTCCACGAGGCCTCCAAAACCAGAAGCTTGTTCTCTGTGTGTGTGTCTGGGCCCCTTCACACGAGGCCAAAACGGGAACCTCCTCCTCCTCTTCCTCCTCCTCCCTCCTCCTCCCTCCTCCTCCTCCTCCTCCTCCTTCTCCTCCTCCTCTATCTCCTCCTCTATCTCATCGCTCCTCTCTCCTCTCTCCTCGCTCCTCGCTCCTCGCTCCTCGCTCCTCTCTCCTCTCTCCTCTTTCCCCTCTCCCCTCTCCCTCTCCTCCTCCTCCTCCTCCTCCTCCCACGGGGCGGCTTCTGAGCGCGAGGGGGTTCGCGCTTTGAGGCCAAGCGATTTTCAAAGTTCTGAGTTTGCAGCGGCACGCGCGTGGGCGGCATGGCGCCTCCTCCTCGCGGTGGCGGCGCTCCTGGCACATCCCATGCGGGCTCTGGCTGGCGCTGCCCATCGTGCTGCTACAAGAACCTCGGGTGGAGGACGCAGTGTCGGCAGCCAGACTGCTGCGCGTACCGCCCGACGACCAACGGTGCTCCTCTGCCTCGTGATGCTGGTGACGGCGGCTGGCCTCGTCTCGGTCGCTGGGCCGAGGGACCGCCCAAGGCTCCGTGGCGCCACGCCGAGCAGGCGGCCAGGGGCGGCAAAGGGCAGCAGCCTCCCAAGCCGAAGCGGCTCACTGACGAGAAGCGTGCCTACTTCGTGGCCTGTCCCGCCGACCAGCTCGACGCTTGCAAGGAGCTCATCGCGGAGGCGGACTGGCAGGCCATTCGTCAGCAGCGCTTCCTCATCCAGCAGCAGCTGGGATCGCTGTCGGCGGTCAGGCCTGTCAGAAGTGCGCAGGTGGCGGCCGACGAGGCTTCCAAGCGCCTCCTGCGGGCCCGTGGCGAGCTGGAGCGCAAGAAGAAGGCGGCCCAGGCAGCGCTGCAGGCGGCCTTCGACCAGGAGAAGCACGCCGCGAAGCTGCAGGTGGAGTTGGACGAGCTCGTCGAGAAGGCCAGGCGGGTCCTGGCTGAGCCGCCTGTCGCGGCGGTGCCGCGCGCCGAGGACCGCTACGTCGCTGACGTCACCAAGTACAGGGACCTGGTTGGCACTGTCTCAGGTGCCCTCGGCGGCATCGAGCTTGGCGAGCTGGCTGGCCCGCTCAATGCGCTCATCGCCGCACTCCAGCAGGATGTGGCCGCCTGCGAGGCCTCGGGCGCCCCGCCAGCAGCTGCTGCGCCTGTCCCTGCCGTCGCGGCGGCAGGCGCCCAGTCTGGGGCGGGGGCACATGCAGCGGATTTGGGAGGTGTGCACACGGCGGTGGGCGATGACGACGAGGACATGGATGGCCGCAACCTATCCCCTGAGGCTTTCGCGGCGCAGGCCGAAGCATTCTGCGACGGCGACGCTGGGAAGAGGAAGAGGCTCGAGGCTTTCCGCGACCGCTGCTACGCGGACAAGAAGCCGAAGCTGGGGTAGTAGCAGGTGGCGGCTGGCGACGCTCAACATGAACGCCTTCAGCAACCTGGACAAGTGCCTCACGGAGCAGATCAGCGGGTGCAATGTTCTGCTCTTCCAGGAGACCCGCCTCAGCGGGGCGCGCACGACGGATGCTGAAGGTGAGCTTCGTCGTCGGGGATGGCGTGCCGCGGGCGTTGGGGCCCAGGCGTCTCAGGCGGGGTGCCTGGCGTCTGGGGGGCTCCTCACGTGCTCGCGCCTTGGGCACGGATTGGCGCCCATGATGGGCTACGAGACTCCAGTCGTTCGACCTGGGCGAGCACAGCTGCTTCACCACGCTGGGCTGACTCCTGGGGGAGCCGTTGTGGGAAACGTGCACTTGGAGAGCGGCGTTGGGGTGAACGCATTCAACTACGAGGCGCTGCGCGACTTGGCGTGCAGGCTGAAGCAGTACGGCAGGCCGTACGTGATCGGCGGCGACTTCAACTGTACCAAGGCCGAGCTGGAGAAGAGCGGAGTGCTGCGGTTCTTCGACGGCACCTGCGTGGACACGCTCGAGCCGACCTGCGTGCAGTCGATGCGATCCATCGACATGTTTATCGTGTCGAGTGGCCTGCGGCAGCTCAACGTGGAGGTGATCAGCGGATCGCCTGTTTGGCCGCATCGGCCTGTGATCCTGGAGCTCGAGGCGACGCGCCAGATGCCCTACATCCGTGTGATGGATGTGCCCAAGAGCTTCCCGCAGGAGCGGCCTGCTGGTTGCGCGCAATGGGATTACCACGTGCCGTGGGTCAGCGTCGGCGTGGAGGTGCGGCGGCTTCTGCGCTCTGCGCCTCGGCAAGGTGTGTCGACGGCTCCTCAGGGTGGGCTTGCGGATGCTGCCCTTAATGACGCTGCTCCCCCGAGCGGCGCGCCTCGAGGAGCTACGGGGCCCACGCCTGCTGCCGATGGTGCGAGCGCACGTGGACCTGTACGCGGTGGTGGGTCCGAACTTCGTGGGCCCCTGCAAGGACGACCTGCAGGCGGAGAGCGCGCCACTCGGAGTGGGGAGTGTGAGCGAGGTTCAGGGGCTGCTGCTGCTGAGGGCCATGTATCGCGGGCGGCCTGCGCCGACGGACAGCTGACGCAGCTACGCGGCCAGATCAACGTCGCCTGGCAGCGGTTCCTGGAGCAGGCTGAGACCGACTGGATCGACATATACCAGGTGGGTGAGGACGCCCAGAAGTATCGAGGGCGAGGTCAGCCAGCGCAGCCGCGCTGGGTCCGCAAGCTGCCTGTAGCTGGCGCGCGCTGGCCCAACGTCTCGGTTGAGGCCACCTGGCTCTACAGGGTGTCGTGCGAGCTGCAGCTTGTCGCCGCCGCCGCGCAGCCCGTCAGCCGTGTCCGTGCGCTTCAAGGTCTGCACAGGCTGATGGTGACTGCGCCCAAGGCCGTGAAGGGTGTCGCGGAGGCTGAGCCTCACGACCTGCCTGTCGCGAGCTCTTGGTGGCAGCTCCTCAACAGCTTGGTCGCTCACTGCCTGGATCCATCCACCACGGTCCTGCAGCTGAGCGAGTGCGCCCGCGCTGCCGCCGCGAAGCTGGCCGAGCGTGACGTGTCGGAGCGCAAGGTCAGGTTCCAGCAGTGGATCGCCAAGCAAGCCGGCGGCGGC